GTGAGTTTCCACGACCAAGAGCTGTTTTGGTCGGCAATAGATGTATTTTTCGCGACCAAAACTCTTGGTCGACAATTGTCATTTTTTGCGAAAAAAATAATTTATTTGTTGCGACTAATAAATTGGTCGCCAAAGCAGGAAAACAATACACCTGTAATTCCTAATAATTCATTCAATCCATAATAAACCTATAATTTTAAAGCATCATTCAAATTAACTGAATCATTAACATTCGACACAATACATAATTTATTAACATTCGACACAATACATAATTTATTAACATTCGACACAATACATAATTTATTAACATTCGACACAATACATAATTTATTAACATTCGACACAATACATAATTTATTAACATTCGACACAATACATAATTTATTAACATTCGACACAATACATAATTTATTAACATTCGACACAATACATAATTTATTAACATTCGACACAATACATAATTTATTAACATTCGACACAATACATAATTTATTAACATTCGACACAATACATAATTTATTAACATTCGACACAATACATAATTTATTAACATTCGACACAATACATAATTTATTAACATTCGACACAATACATAATTTATTAACATTCGACACAATACATAATTTATTAACATTCGACACAATACATAATTTATTAACATTCGACACAATACATAATTTATTAACATTCGACACAATACATAATTTATTAACATTCGACACAATACATAATTTATTAACATTCGACACAATACATAATTTATTAACATTCGACACAATACATAATTTATTAACATTCGACACAATACATAATTTATTAACATTCGACACAATACATAATTTATTAACATTCGACACAATACATAATTTATTAACATTCGACACAATACATAATTTATTAACATTCGACACAATACATAATTTATTAACATTCGACACAATACATAATTTATTAACATTCGACACAATACATAATTTATTAACATTCGACACAATACATAATTTATTAACATTCGACACAATACATAATTTATTAACATTCGACACAATACATAATTTATTAACATTCGACACAATACATAATTTATTAACATTCGACACAATACATAATTTATTAACATTCGACACAATACATAATTTATTAACATTCGACACAATACAACTATTCTAAGTTTTCATTCACAAGTCACATCTATCTAGCATAACAAATTGAAACAATACATAATTCAAATTTACAGCATCAGGGAACTTGGGGTGCGTATTGTCTGGAAGATCCGGTCTCATGCCCTGGCAAATAGAATATAAATAAAGTTAAAAAGGTGTGGGTGATTACTTCAATCCGTGTAGACAAAATTGCAACCAGGGAAATCATAAAAAGCTCATACTGGAGTTGAAATTTCTTTTTTATTTGTTTTATTATTATTTTTATCCACAGAAGACCTTTTTTATTCACAATTTCAAAAAATTTCACATTTTCATTTTATCATTTTTCGATAATATTTTGTGTTAGTTTTTTCCTTTTTGCCTGAAGTACAGTATTGAATCTAAGACGCTTATTAATTAAGTCTAATAAAAAGTTGATATAAGACTGTTTAAAGGGTGCATTGCACTCATATCTAGTTGTCTTCTAAACACGTAATATTATGTTCCGGAACCCTACAAATCTGTAGTTGAAGTTGTCCCTCCAAGTAATTTTACGAACTTTGTATATATGTCCAGTTTTTAACCTAATGGATGGTTGCAAACCAAGATAGTACATTGAGCATCAACTCTCACTTCAAAACAAGTAGCATCCAAAGATTATCCAAGACAACTGTTCTATTTGAATGATGTCATCACAGATAAGATAACGACATAATTTTTTATTTTTCTTCATTCATTTTTACTTCCAGTTAATAAAACTACGTCTGAAACTAGATGTTTAATCTCATCTCTTGGGCGTTCCCTTCTGAAGCTCCTAATTCTTCTGCTTAAGCATCAGGATGTCACAGAAAATACTCTGAAAATCCATAATATCTTGATGCATGACTTGGTTTGGCTGCCTCATTTTTAAATTTAATATGTAAATGTATTGAACGTCACACCAATGAATCAGTAATAGCTTAATGAGATCGAATATGTTTCCCATCAACCAAGGAGTTCTAGTGTTTGGCTAGCTCTTTGGCCACCAAGTCTCTCTTAAAGGGAGGTCTTGGGTTCTAATAGGGCGCAACAATTAAGTACTTGCAAGGAGAGGGTGAGAGTTCGACTCCCCAAGATACTAATGTAACAACTAACTACTAACTTTCGTTAATCAAAATATATATATATATATATATATGTTTCCCATCATGAGTTAAACTAAGGAACAAAATGTGGTCATTAGTTAACGCAACACAGAAATGTGGCACCAGATGAAGTGCCATAACATGACATTCTCAATCCTACCAACTTAACTGTGTGTATATGTCAAGCAATGTAAACTCTAAAGTCTTGTTTTCATTTGCTACAGTTCATTGGAACTTCGAAGTGTTTTTAAGAGTTTCAAAACTTCGTGTCCCACGTTGATTGGAAAAATAAGTCACATCGAACACATCGAACATATATGTTTTTGTTCTTCTTGGCATACTTGATTAGTCATGAGTCGTGCCAACTAGTGGTATTTACTTGATTAGTAGTGACTACCTATGTTTCATGTCTGTTTTCACTGTTTTAGATCTACTCTTCTTTGCCGTGGTCGGCCGTAAGTTCTATTTCCAAATTCCAGTTCCACTATTCTAAGGCCTTGTTTGGGAACAAGCTAAATTAGTCAAAAAGTCAACTCATTCTCTCTACTTTTCTGCACATCTTTTCATACCAAGTCAAAAAAATACTAAAAAAGCCAATTCCCAAATGAACCCTAATTTTATTCCATTCTATTTCAGTCACCTCAGCTCTTTTTATAGGGCTTTATATCACAACAGTTTTGACATACAAATATGTTACAAATTTTTATATTAATTCAGATTTTATTCTCATCTGTTTAAAAGTTTTTCCTATATATAGAGTATTTCTGCTACAGAAGTACAAAGTAGTACACTGATATTCCAATACACTCATATTTTGAAAGAGATCACAGATTCATCTCAAGAGAATTTGCCTACTAGTCTGTGTTTTCTAGACAACTCGATTCGGACGGTTGTTTTTCCTCCTGGTGGACGTGAACACCAAATGAGTGGCTGTTAGCTTCTGGGAACAGTGACTTTAGGACAGTAATTTCGTGCCTCAGAGATTCACAAGCCACATCTTTCTGTTCAAATTTCTATTATATTTTCTGCTTTGATTCACTGAATCTGTATTATTGCATGATATATATGATTGTTTAGTTCTATTACTAAGTCTATAAACTGTTGTGTACTGTTTATAAGTTCTGTTTATTTTGTGATGTATGTTTAGTTCGTAATGTAAAACTATTGCTTTTAACTACAATGTAATCTCACAGGGAGGATGATAAAAGTATAGAACTTTTAAAACACTCGAAAATATTCATTTATAACTTCATGAAGACTGAAATTGGAAGTACTGATGCTGTAATTTAAAGATAATATACTGAAGTTTGTAAAAGAAAATATGGTAAATTATATATTTTATCTTATGATATAACTTGATATACAAACAACCAAACCTGTCTCACTCCCAGGGCAGCTTGTAAAGGAGTCATCGTATCATATGGAACCTGCATCACAAAAAATAATCATCATCTCACAAGATTTTTTATCTTCACAATTGAGAAGTTAAATACTCAAAAGTGGTATTTGAGGCTTGGCGCAAATTGAGGAAATACCTTAGCGGTGACAAGCTCCCACAGAACAATAGCAAAACTGAATATGTCTGCTTTCTGATCGTATGGTTGATGATTAATAACCTTTTGATGGAGAAACAAAGTAAGAAATGATATCAAAGTAAGAAGTGAATAACTAGGAAATCAACATCAAATAATGGTTAACGTCACGCAATTCTATGACACAGGTCCAGAACCTAGTGTCAAACAAAGTGCACTTCATTAGTTTTCTCAAAAAATTCAACCCAGTATTGCATGCATCAACATTGTTAGATACAGAAGATTTAAAATGATACTACAGATTGAGGTAAGTTAACTGATGTGCATAATTCATGGAAATAAAAGAATTGCAATGTCAATACACTATGAAGCACAGACATGGACACGGTGATTTCAAAAAAATAGGAACAGGGACACGGCAAATTATTATTTTTTATATATATTTGCTATATAGATTAATATTATGTTACCAAACAATCAAAATTAATAAAAACTAACATTAATTCAATATATATATATAAACCACTACATTTAAACAAATTAATAGATCATCCATATTTGGAGATGCGTGTTCCCTGCAAAAAAAAAAAAAAATCAATTAATTAAATGGCATGTCCCTGCCGTGTCCCCGTCTCCCTTGACGTATCTAGATTTAGACAAGTGTCCCCGGCGTATCCCCTACATGTCCCCGTGTCAGACACTGCTATGGCCCCTATTTTAAAGTGTTTGTGCTTCATAGACAATCACACTAAAAAGTGAGCCAAGATTCAAAAACAATCAGGAAAGTATGGTTGAACATGCCCTAAAAACCGTAACATAAAAAAATTTAATTGGACCATGCAGCTCCATCAATGCACGAACAGTTTACACTAATCAACGATTAAACCATCAATCCAAGTCTCAAAATAGAATGATTTTTATGAAATTGCCTGGACCATTTGACCCGCTCCCAATTTTACTACATACTGCCTGGTCCAGTCCAGGTTCTAAAACACTGCCATCACCCATTCTCATAATTATTCCCCATTTAGCGTTGTTGCAAATTATCAATGTCGACCAATGATTGGAGAATACAAGGATCTATTGCAAGCAACTGGGTAAGGGGGCTAACTTAGTCAATAGATAACTCAGGAAAGCTTTAAACTGTTCGTGCATTGATGGAGCTGCATGGTCCAATTAAATTTTTTTATGTTACGGTTTTTAGGGCATGTTCAACCATACTTTCCTGATTGTTTTTGAATCTTGGCTCACTTTTTAGTGTGATTGTCTATGAAGCACAAACACTTTAAAATAGGGGCCATAGCAGTGTCTGACACGGGGACATGTAGGAGATACGCCGAGGACACTTGTCTAAATCTAGATACGTCAAGGGAGACGGGGACACGGCAGGGACATGCCATTTAATTAATTGATTTTTTTTTTTTTTTTTTGCAGGGGACACGCGTGTCCAAATATGGATGATCTATTAATTTGTTTAAATGTAGTGGTTTATATATATATATATATATATTGAATTAATGTTAGTTTTTATTAATTTTGATTGTTTGGTAACATAATATTAATCTATATAGCAAATATATATAAAAAATAATAATTTGCCGTGTCCCTGTTCCTATTTTTTTGAAATCACCGTGTCCATGTCTGTGCTTCATAGTGTATTGACATTGCAATTCTTTTATTTCCATGAATTATGCACATCAGTTAACTTACCTCAATCTGTAGTATCATTTTAAATCTTCTGTATCTAACAATGTTGATGCATGCAATACTGGGTTGAATTTTTTGAGAAAACTAATGAAGTGCACTTTGTTTGACACTAGGTTCTGGACTTGTGTCATAGAATTGCGTGACGTTAACCATTATTTGATGTTGATTTCCTAGTTATTCACTTCTTACTTTGATATCATTTCTTACTTTGTTTCTCCATCAAAAGGTTATTAATCATCAACCATACGATCAGAAAGCAGACATATTCAGTTTTGCTATTGTTCTGTGGGAGCTTGTCACCGCTAAGGTATTTCCTCAATTTGCGCCAAGCCTCAAATACCACTTTTGAGTATTTAACTTCTCAATTGTGAAGATAAAAAATCTTGTGAGATGATGATTATTTTTTGAGATGCAGGTTCCATATGATACGATGACTCCTTTACAAGCTGCCCTGGGAGTGAGACAGGTTTGGTTGTTTGTATATCAAGTTATATCATAAGATAAAATATATAATTTACCATATTTTCTTTTACAAACTTCAGTATATTATCTTTAAATTACAGCATCAGTACTTCCAATTTTAGTCTTCATGAAGTTATAAATGAATATTTTCGAGTGTTTTAAAAGTTCTATACTTTTATCATCCTCCCTGTGAGATTACATTGTAGTTAAAAGCAATAATTTTACATTACAAACTAAACATACATCACAAAATAAACAGAACTTATAAACAGTACAAAACAGTTTATAAATTAGTAATAGAACTAAACAATCATATATATCATGCAATAATACAGATTCAGTGAATCAAAGCAGAAAATATAATAGAAATTTAAACAGAAATATGTGGCTTGTGAGTCTCTGAGGCACGCAATTACTGTCCTAAAGTCACTGTTCCCAGAAGCTAACAGCCACTCATTTGGTGTTCGCGTCCACCAGGAGGAAAAACAACCGTCCAAATCGAGTTGTCTAGAAAACACAGACTAGTAGGCAAATTCTCTTGAGATGAATCTGTGATCTCTTTCAAAATATGAGTGTATTGGAATATCAGTGTACTACTTTGTACTTCTGTAGCAGAAATACTCTATATATAGGAAAAACTTTTAAACAGATGAGAATAAAATCTGAATTAATATAAAAATTTGTAACATATTTGTATGTCAAAACTGTTGTGATATAAAGCCCTATAAAAAGAGCTGAGCTGACTGAAATAGAATAGAATAAAATTAGGGTTCATTTGGGAATTGGCTTTTTTAGTAATTTTTTGACTTGTTATGAAAAGATGTGTAGAAAAGTAGAGAGAATGAGTTGACTTTTTGACTAATTTAGCTTGTTCCCAAACAAGGCCTTAGAATAGTGGAACTGGAATTTGGAAATAGAACTTACAGCCGACCACGGCAAAGAAGAGTAGATCTAAAACAGTGAAAACAGACATGAAACATAGGTAGTCACTACTAATCAAGTAAATACCACTAGTTGTCACGACTCAGGACTAATCAAGTATACCAAGAAGAACAAAAACATATATGTTCGATGTGTTCGATGTGACTTATTTTTCCAATCAACGTGGGACATGAAGTTTTGAAACTCTTAAAAACACTTCGAAGTTCCAATGAACTGTAGCAAATGAAAACAAGACTTTAGTGTTTACATTGCTTGACATATACACAGTTAAGTTGGTAGGATTGAGAATGTCATGTTATGGCACTTCATCTGGTGCCACATTTCTGTGTTGCGTTAACTAATGACCACATTTTGTTCCTTAGTTTAACTCGTGATGGGAAACATATATATATATATATATTTTTCAACAATGATTCATCCCACTAAAAATATCACCACTAATAGCACTAATGCATTAAAAAAGTAAAAAAAAAAAAAAAAACACAACTCCAAGACCAAAACATCACATCATTAATGGCGGAACCCACTGCCACCTAATTAGTGGGAGCACTAATTAGTGCTCCCAAGCATTTTTCTATTTTTTTTATCAACGAAAGTTAGTAGTTAGTTGTTACATTAGTATCTTGGGGAGTCGAACTCTCACTCTCTCCTTGCAAGTACTTAATTGTTGCGCCCTATTAGAACCCATGACCTCCCTTTAAGAGAGACTTGGTGGCCAAAGAGCTAGCCAAACACTAGAACTCCTTGGTTGATGGGAAACATATTCAATCTCATTAAGCTATTACTGATTCATTGGTGTGACGTTCAATACATTCACATATTAATTTTAAAAATGAGGCAGCCAAACCAAGTCATGCATCAAGATATTATGGATTTTCAGAGTATTTTCTGTGACATCCTGATGCTTAAACAGAAGAATTAGGAGCTTCAGAAGGGAACGCCCAAGAGATGAGATTAAACATCTAGTTTCAGACGTAGTTTTATTAACTGGAAGTAAAAATGAATGAAGAAAAATAAAAAATTATGTCGTTATCTTATCTGTGATGACATCATTCAAATAGAACAGTTGTCTTGGATAATCTTTGGATGCTACTTGTTTTGAAGTGAGAGTTGATGCTCAATGTACTATCTTGGTTTGCAACCATCCATTAGGTTAAAAACTGGACATATATACAAAGTTCGTAAAATTACTTGGAGGGACAACTTCAACTACAGATTTGTAGGGTTCCGGAACATAATATTACGTGTTTAGAAGACAACTAGATATGAGTGCAATGCACCCTTTAAACAGTCTTATATCAACTTTTTATTAGACTTAATCAATAAGCGTCTTAGATTCGATACTGTAATTCAGGCAAAAAGGAAAAAACTAACACAAAATATTACCGAAAAAATGATAAAATGAAAATGTGAATTTTTTTGAAATTGTGAATAAAAAAGGTCTTCTGTGGATAAAAATAATAATAAAACAAATAAAAAAGAAATTTCAACTCCAGTATGAGCTTTTTATGATTTCCCTGGTTGCAATTTTGTCCACACGGATTGAAGTAATCACCCACACCTTTTTAACTTTATTTATATTCTATTTGCCAGGGCATGAGACCGGATCTTCCAGACAATACGCACCCCAAGATCTTGCACTTGATGAAGAGATGTTGGGAAGCCATTCCGGACAATCGCCCTTCCTTCTCTGAGATACGGATCGAACTTGAAGAACTCCTGCAGGAAGTTCTGGTACAATATTTCAACTGTTTTATTCTCTCTCATTGTTCATTTATGTTTGGACTGTGATTATCTATTCCGACATCTCACAGGTAACTTCAGAAGCTCCAAATGGCAGACGAAATTGTTCAGTTCATAACATTGCGGAAGTTCTGAATGGCAGCTGAAAATATTCCAAGCGTATAATATACCAAACGGCACACTATTATAGTACGGGTGAGAGGCTTTTTTGTTTCTTTGTTTGTTCTTGATATAGTTATAGAGTTCAATTAAACACTACACCTGAGGGAAAGAGAAATTTTACAAATGTGCTCCATAGAATGGTAGTGAAGAAAGAGTAATGTCAAATTGTATCACTGCAATGTTGTTTGAATTGTTTTGTGGACTCAAAGCTAACTCATGCTTGGTTTTGTTAGAATTGCTTTGAGTAATGGAATTGAATTTTCTTCCGTGGAGAGAGAGAAAAAATTTTCAAAATACTTAGTTAAGATAGGATACATAATCCAATAGATTCGTAGTTCTAGGACTATTAGTCATGGGAATACTAATCCAGTCCGCCTAAACAAACATGGCCTTAAGTGAAATGATTGATTAATAATTAAAAAAGTGACTTTATATATTATAATATATTACAATATTATTAAATTTAATTTTCGAATTCAAGCAACATCATCTTCTACTATTCTTGGGACCGGCTGATGCTCCTTCTAATTTACACATCTCAAGGGCCTACCCCCAACTTATTTTTTTTTATCTTTTATTGCCGTCTAAATAAACTGCATTAAAAAAAATTGGAAAAACTTATTATTAGACACTCAAGAAAGTCTAATTTCAAAACTTTTGAAACAATAATCCTATATTCTAGTGTAATTTTCTTTTTATATATTAATTTTTCTCTGTACATATACTTAATGAATATCTTCTTAGTATATAGCATAAAAGAATAAAAATTCTCAATACACATCTCTTTATTTCAATAATATATTTTCGTCTTCAATTTCAAAACCTATTTTTTCTTCCATCCACCTATTCATTCAGTTGCCACTCAAAGCCCTCCATCACCACCACCACTGCTCCCAACTTATCACATTCCATTATAAACCTCCACAATTAATCTTGAAATGGATGGTTGGTGGTCGAAAACTTTTTAAAAGTGTATGATTTATAGTAGAAGATGATTGCAGATGGAGAGAGAAAGAGGTGAAGTAGGAATAGTGGATAAAAGAGGTGGCAATGGCAATGGAAGATGATTGTGGTGTTTTAAATTAGAGTTTGGGGTAAAAGAAACAAGATATTGTAGTATTTTTATTTTAGATAAAATTGTATCCAAAAAAATATATATTCATTAAGTGTGTAAAATGAGGTGATGGAAATAAAATTACCCTAATATCTATTCTCTAGGGACAAAAATAAAATAATAATATAATAATAATTTGAAAATTCACATTATTCCTACCTATCTGTTTATCTATCTGTTTATTTATCTATATATCATTCCTTTATTTATCTATGTATTACCAATTTGTCCACTTTAATATCAGCCTCACCAGTCATCTCCGACAACTTGTTCGGCACTAATCTGACGGTGATTTGGCAGCAATGGGCTTGAAAAAAAAGAGCAATGCTTGGTAGTCCGAATAGGAGATTGACTCGAACGACTCGAATGTTATCTTGCCAGTCGTCCGGGCGGACGTCCGGCCAGTTATCCGACGAGATGGCTAACAGCCGTGGTCGACAAAGGTGACAACTGCGGAAGACAAGTTTTCACCCAATCATCCGGACAGATATCCAACCGGTCGTCCGGACAGACGTCCAGTGAACACTCATTCGGGCTATTCGAGCCCCTCCTTTTCGGGTTACCAATCATTAATCTGAAAAAAAATTCATTCGTGCCAACGAACAATTTAATTATCTTTAATTATATTCTTGTCAACAAAAACAAAACAATCATTGTTCCTAATGTCATACACCCAAAAAATTATTTTCTTCACCAATTTCCCCTTTTTCATTCACCTTTTTCTTGATCAACTTTAGGATCATTTGTTTTTAGTGATAGAATAGTGAAAATTATTAGTAACGGGACTACTAGAGCGAGGATTAAAAAAAATTATGTTTATTTGATAATTAGTTGATTAGTAATAGTTTATGTTTGCTTTGAGAGATAGGAGTAGAATTAATCATGTAAAATTTCACAAATACTCTTTTATTACTATCAAATTAGACTTATACCAACTAAAAAATAAATAAATTTTTATTCAATGTTATTCTTTTTCTTCTTTTATTTTTTTTAAATATTAAAGAATTGATCTATCAAATTTTTTTTACTCAATGTTATTCTTTTTTTTTTTTTAAAAAAATATTAATGAATCCAACTATCAATAAATTTTTACTCAATGTTATTCTCTCTCTCTCTTTTTTTTTCTTTTTTTTGACAAATATTAAAGAATCCAACTATCAATAAAATTTTACTCAATTATTTGTGTTTAATATTACATGAGTGATATTATGAATCTCATTCCAAGTATTATAACAAATTTAGCAATAAACACAAGTGTAAAATAGTAAATTAATCCATTAGTCCCAAGGGATTCATTTTTAAATACCACCTCCCCTAAGCCACTATTAGTCCTCTCATCCAAGACCTTTCATAGTCTTCAGCCCCATTTGTTTAGAAGATAGAGGTGGGAATGAGATTGAAATGGAAGTGGGACCCGCAATATGTTGTGTTTGTTTTGGGAGATAGAGAGGGGATTTATAATCCCATGAGATTAGGATGGGCCTTAGTGTTGGAATTGAGATGAAGGAGATGAAGGTGGTATTAAGAAATTAGTCCTTCGGCTTAGGTTTTTTTTTTTTTTTTTAACATTAATGTTTAATGTTTTTGTATTTTTTATTAAAAAAAAATCATAATTTTATTTGCTTTAATTATTTATATTTTTTTTATAGAATAATAATTTAACAATTCCCCACACTAACAACTATAATCAAAACAAACACAATTTTACTTAATTTCTCCACTATCAATCCCTTCCATTCTGTTAAACAAACGGACCCTAAAAAACATGATAATTATTATCCCCTCTTTTACTACAAGGTCAATCCTGACGCCTACCTCTCAAAACAAACAGCCCTCCACTCTTGAAATTAACTTCAGCCTAATTTATTCTTGGGAGCAAGTATATGCTCCCCCTGTAGCCAAACGAGGTCATTTTCATCTCTCTGGACGCCATCTTCCTCGTAAGGACTAGGGATGTGCGCGGTGCGATTTGGACAGTTTAAAAAGAAAATTACAAACCGAATGGCGGGTTAACGGATTAGCGGATTGACAAATTGCGGTTTGAGCGATTTTTGGCGGATTGAAAAATATTCTAACTAATTATCATATATTTGCATAATATATGACACTAATTTATATATAGTTTTTAGATATATAAACACAAAATAATTTTACATAATATGTTCTATATATATAACCACTAATTTGAAATAAATTTCATATCTTAAATCTCTCTCACACTTATTTTTACATTGATATTTTTATGGAAGTTAAAATATATATATATATATGTAATAACTATAGCGGAGCGGAGCGGTTCGGTTGGCGGATTATAAATTTTAAAGTTTAAACGCGGTTAGCGATTAGAGCGGTGCGGAGTTGATGCAGATCTATACAGTTTTAACAGATTGGACAGTATTTTTACACAGCCCTAGTAAGGACCATGTTCATGCTCTCTCTCTCTCTCTCTCTCTCTCTCTCCTCTTCTATCTGTCTCTCTCTTTCCCTCTCATAAAACTAGAAAACTCTGTTGAAGTTCCTCTACTAAAAACTTCGGTCAAGTTTGGTTTAGTTTTGAAATTATAATTTGAAAGTGAAGTATTAATTTAAATATGAAATTATAAATTAAATTTTAAAAAGAGAATTTATTTAGTTGTGAGTTTTAAAAGAATTTTGTAAAAAAGATTTAAATTTTAAATTTTTAAAAAGAATTTTGAATTGTATTTGAGTATTGAATTTTTCAATTTTAAGTTGTATTTTGAAATTTTTTGAATTAATTTTTTCAAAATATTAAAAAATGTTTAAGAAATTTTATTCTTTATTTTAAATATATAATTTCATTTTTAAATATTTTATTTTTTTTTAATATTTTAAACTGAATATAACTTCACTTTAATCATAACTTAACACAGCTCAAAATTCAATTTAAAAACTATTTTTAAACTCATAACTAAACACACATAATTTAAAATTCTACACTACTTTCAAAACTTCACACTCAAATTGTAACCAAACACATAATAAAAAAATTAAAATATTTAAAAATGTATTTATAAAATAAAAAATAAAATATATTTTAAAATAAATTTATTTATTTAAAATAAAAAAAAATTATTTTTAAAATTATTTTTAATATTTAAAAATATATTTAAAATATTAAAATAAAATACAACACATAAATGTATAAAATATAATACACATTAAAATAAATAAATAAATAATTACAATATAAAATATTTACCCTAAAAAAATAAATCCAAAAAATTTCAAAATATAACTTAAATTAAAAATACAACAATCAACAATAGATTCAGGATATCTTTAATCCTCTCCTCACAAACCAAATACCAAATGATTAACGCCTTCAATTTTCTAAGAGGTAACTCCGATAACTAAACTGTAATTGCCAGGAAAAACATGGCACGAGGGAAGCGAAAACAATCT